AGTACTCACCCTTAACTTGGCTTAGGTATTTATAAAATGGGAAAAAAGCCAAATTCCAGGAAAACAATTTATTCTGTTCCATCCCTAAACTTTTACTCATTCATCTGTTATGCTTAAAAATCAATTAGCACTGTGCATACACTGTATCAACAGCTTTATTTAGGATTAACTACAGAGCTGGGCAAATTTAACTGCAATTTTCCCACCAATGATGCTCTAAAAACATGCATGGATTTCAGAGGCTAATGAAGAACGCTTCTCGCGGTGCCATATTTTTAAAGTTCTTGGGCTTTTACTTTATCTTTCTGTCTTCTCCCACCTGTCCTCTCTCTCATCAGTACCAGTAGGATATCATACTTCAAGTTGATTCTTTTGAACTTTCTCTGTTTAAAAAAGATTATTAGGAAATGATTATAGATTCAGAGGAAGTTGAAAAGAAATAGAGAGGGAAGTCCCATGTACCCCTGACTCAGCTTCTCCCAATATTAACATCTTGTAAAAGTATCGTTTAATATTAAAAATAGAAAATTGACGTTGGCACAATCCCATGGAACTTATTCAGATTTCGTTGGGATCGACTTTTTAAATAACTAATAATTGCATTTGGTAAGCATCAGTTATGATCAAAATAAAGGCTGGAATTCAGTTCATGTATGTGTATTTCAGTGTGGGTTTCTGTGTATCCATTTCTGTGGGGGCAGGGGGAGGACAAACTCTGGCCTTACCCATTTCATGCTCGACTGTTCCGAGGAACAATTGGGAGAATATCACGTAAATGCTGTTCATAAACTGTAAAGTACTAAATAAACAGAAAGTATTATACTGTAGTAGATTTCTAAACTTTTTGTTCAGGAAAAATCTCTCATTAGTAGTGTACACAGAGAGTAGGTGGAGCCTACATCCTAAATAATTCCCTTCCTTCTTTAACATTTCATCAGATACAAGACTGCTCATCTCTGGATGAACTTAATCGTTCTCCACAAGGATGGAACCAGGACTGAAGCACAATGAGGTATGAGCTGAACAGCACATTCCAGAGCTGGAGTGGTCTCCTTCCATGTCTGTACACTATATTTGTATTAATTGCCCTGACACTCACATTAACAAGTTTTTGTGGTTTTTTTTTTTCCCAACTTCCCTCATATTCCTCTTGAAATCAACTGAAATCCCTAAGCTTTTTTTTTTTCCCTCTCAGGTTTTGATGTTTAAGCCATTCCTCCCTGATTTTGCACATAGGTAGTTAGTTTTCTGGGCACAGGAGCAAGACTTCATGTAGATTCTCATTAAATTAGGCCTATTCTACCATTCTACTGAGATTTTATATATATATATCTGGACTCTATCACTAAATTTATTTACTGTCTCTGCCGGCTCCACATTGGCTACACCCTTTACAAATGGTCCTTTAGTCCTTTCTGAAAATTGCTGAAGACATACTTGTGCATAGAAGGGTGAAAAGGAGATCATTAAAAAGCTATAAATTCGAACTGTAACATTTTGACCTTCTGTTAATGTTAAATTTTAATTGAGCACTCAGCTCTGTTTTTACTGAGGGTTGACATAAGAAGTAGCCCTACACAAAAGACCTCTGTATTTTCTAGAAAACTGTATCAGGTGATTCGATGTCTCATCTGTAAGAATCCCATGGGAAATTTCTCTGGAGCTCAGAAAAAAAAAAATTTTCCCTCCAATGATAGCTGAGCTGGTATGAGTTTCCTTCTGTTTTGTCTTCCAAGACACTAAGAGAAACTGAAAATCACCTGCTCAATTGCTGTACCTTTTCTTTATTTCTATTTATTGATTTTTCTTTCTTTCTATCATTCTACTTTATTACCTAACACCCCATGTTAATGGTTCTGTATATACATATTTTTTTTTACCAGACATTATGACATATCCTTTCTAAAAGGAGGCAGGGAATAGAAACATACATAATCAAGACATCTTTTCAAATATCTTTTCAGATGTTTAAAGATCCACAGAATAATTTCTTCACTTTTGAAGTAGGACTTTAGGAAATGTTCCCCAGAGTACTTGTACTGAAGTAGTTTAGATTTGCTTCAGCCCTTCAAATCACTTTTTTCTAAATTTTTTTTCTCAGTTTATAATGACATGTTCTCAAAATCTTCCACAGTAATTTCCCCAAATGGTACTTTAAGGTGTAAAGAGAAATAATTTGATCATTTGCTAATCTTTTCTCTTTTTTAGTTCTTCCATTATAGGGTTATTGTTTTTTCTTTAATTAACTACTTTTATCTGACTGAAATTTATACTGAAAAGACTTCTGGATTGGGTGTTAGAGGCCCAGGGTTCTTGTCTGGGATTAACAACTCTTTGCACGGCCAGGAGAAACTCATAAAGTTTCTCGTCTATAGAATGAAAACTACCTCTTGATGAACATCTGTTCAATATTAGGCACTCTTGAAATGTATATAACTTACTTTTAAAGACTTTAAAATATGTAGCTTATAATATATAGTTTGATTATATGGATGTGCAATATTTGAAACCCCAATTTTAGGCGCTTAAACCAGGTGGTCAGTAAGAATTATATCAGAAAGGCAATATTCTAGAGCTTGGCCACCATAAAAGCATTTACTATACTATTTCACTGAACAAACGATGCTTTGCTTATTAGCAAAAATATATCAGAAATGGATTCAAAATTGGTGAAACTAGTGACTCATTAACTACCATGATAAGTGGAACTTAACTGGTAAAATTAAAAGTTTTAAATAATACGTGGAATATTAAAGACTTTTGGAGCCATTCCCCACCTTTGCATGAACAGGGTGCAAAAATCTTAAGGAGGCTCATAGCCCATACCATAGGATTAATGGCCTAAGTTTGATCACTAAACCTTCCTATTTCCAACTGCCAGTTTAATAGGATTTCTTGTTGTCTGAGACTGAATATAAGGGTAACAAAAATCCTGGCCCTGGAATGTCGTTTTATCTGCCTCAAGTGAAACCTTTTCCTCAGGTAATGACTGAAACATCTGAATGGACAGAGAACTAGAATTTCTCTCTCTCCCTCTGCTCCTCCCCATTGCGTGTTCTCTCTCTCTCTCTCTCTCTCTCTCTCAAATAAATAAAATCTTAAAAAAATAAAATTAAATTAAATAGGCCTGCATGTGTAGCAGAACTTGCCTTAAGATTTATGTTTAGCAAGGCTAGCATTAACTATCACAGGGCTACTGCTAACCCTCTTCAATAAACACACTTACTTAACAAAGGTGTGTGTCAACAAATTATCACAGGACAGTTCTTAAAAGACATTTTGCTTCATTTTAATCTTCATCAGAGCCCTTCCTTACCACTCCCCTTATTCCGGCTAGGAAATTCAAGTGTAGGGGATGTTAGCTTATAATCATATGAATATTGAGTGATAGAGCCTGATGCATCTGATTCTACTCTACAATACCCCCTGCAACCACCCAGATAAAGTCATGTGGTCATTGCAAGGAATAGATGAGAGATTAGGAAATGCCTACAGCTGCTTCCTTGCAAATACATGGGTTAAACAAAGGCTCTTTAGCTCCCTTGACAGATAGTTAAAAGTCAACCAACCACCTATTAAATTGATTTCATTGACATTTATTGTTGCTATATATATAATCACAATTCCTATTAATGTATTTTTGGTTCTTTTTTGTACTTTTCATTTTTTTCAAAATCTATACTTTAGATCTTCCCAATATATTCAGATAAACTGTAGTAAATTCATACACTGAGGCACAGATTACTTTGTGACATAATTGCATGACCTAGCTCTACTGGAAAGTTGGACTCTGAAATGATCAGTTGAAACATGCTTTGAAAAACTCATAGTTACCTAAAGGTCAACAAGAAAGCTCATCTCAAGCATTGTTACATAAAAAGAAGTAAATGAAATGGTAGTTTTAGAATTGGAATGCTGAAGTGATACAGAATATTCGTGGATTGATGATTTTGATGGCCGTCAGAGGTCAGCAGAGTTGAATAAGTAGTTTGGGGTTCTACAAAACTACTAGTCAGGCTAAAAATTAAAAAAAAAAAAGGAATCAACAAAATGCATGATACAAATACACCAGAATTTAGCCCCTAGTTACCAATAGCACATTCCAGATGCATTTTATTTTGGATGTTGTGTTCTAAGCAGAGATCAACATGGTCACAAATAACCCAGATCTAGTTGATTAATTAAAATCTTAAGTTCTCAGGGAAAAGATCTTAGGTGAATACACAGGTAAACATTGATCTATTCTTATTTAAACTTCTGAAATTTATGCTTTTCGATTAGTTTTGATGTAAGTAGAAGTTAGGGGGAGAAAAATGATTCATTTCAGATAAAGTTATTTCTTTAGCAAGTCCTTATTACATGAAGAGGTAATGGCATCCAAAGAATACAAGGGAATGAAAAAAAAAGTATGTTCATACTTCTACTTTAAAATGTTATATATTTTAAACTACCTTAACTTCATGCCAAAAGGAAAATATTTAGGATGAATACATGACATAACCAAACTTTTTGGGGGAACGAGGCTAATATATTTTTATTATAGCTGTACATTAAGGAATTAGCTGTGCATTATCTTTTTCTGTTAAAATCATCCTTCCTCTTTAATTAAAATAAAAAACACAGGGTGAGGAGTTCTATCTTTATTTTTTAAATGTGTGTATTTTTCTATAGTAATTTGAATAAAAAGTGCCTTGGAATTATTATGTTCTTCTAAACATTAAATCCATTAGAGTATCATATGGGGGGAAAATTCTACCAGTTGGGATGATTTGGGGGGATGGTTTTCTAACTAGTTCATACTTATCATCCCCAAACAGACAAAACGAGACACAAAAACTATAAAATGACTGCTTTTTGTAGGTCTACTGTCCATCAATGCTGAGGAAGCTGTTTGGACACAAAATTCTGATTTGTTCTAGGATTTCAACATTGACTTTAGTAACAGCAGTGGGGGGGAATGTGCTTAGGGGAGAAAAGCTCTGGTTATTTTATGAACATACCACTCCGTTCACTGATAGCAGCTGGTCTCCCCTTTTGAGGCCTCCGTGTCTTTCGGCCACCCCTCCAGGAATGATGCGAGAGATATAAATGGGGGAATTTTGCTCCTTTCCTCCCATCACGTTAAAACCAAGGCCTTCATCAGTCTTTGGCAGTTCGACTACCCGAGGGTGGGAGTGGCCTTCACTAGCTGCAAAAGCTGCAACTGTTGCCTGAAAGAAAAGATGGTCATTTGGTAATAAAACGAGGGAAATAAGGCTCATCGTATGCTTTGCAGTGGGTAGGATCGGGCAACTCCTCTTATTTTTATAGCATTCTCCTGTGAAAAAAAGAACACAGTGGGGAGGGTGCTAGCTTCATTTAAATGTCATCTATGATTCCTCTCCTTGGCAAAGCCCTGCCTGGCTATTTCCGGCTTTCTAGAATTTATCCATTATGATACAAATTTCCCTTCTTCATAAAACTCTGTCCCAGTTACCTGAGGCAGCTGTAATTCCTCCTTTTCTTGGACTCCGAAATAGCTTTGGTCCACAGACTACATCCTTACGGTACATAGGCTCTCACTATTCCGTATATGTGTTGACCATGAGCACCCGAAGGGCAGAGATGATGTAATTTGATTCTTTGTATGCCACACAGTCTACCCCAGTGCTTGCACATAAACGTTCATGAATATTTATTCAATGTACTTAGAAGCACTTATATGTATAAACTCTGGTAGATACGTATATAATCTTGCTATTGCCAGACCACCGGCTTCGCAAATTTAGTTTTTGGGTTTTTTTTTTTTTTTGACTGAGGATACCTAAAGGAAAATAAAAGCTAAAACAAATAATAAATTCAAACAGATGATTATTATTTCACATCAATATTTTGCATTATTATGAGAAGTCCTCTTATCTGGTAAGGATGTTTTCCCCTACATTTTACATTAATATTTCAACTCCTATGGCGTCGTGGGCAAAATGAGCAGCCTATGGTTCTACACCTACGTGTACACAATTTCATTTAATATGGACATCGTTTTAAGATTCCTATATTAATTTTTAAAAATCAGTTGAAAACACAACTTACCATTAGTTCCCACCCCTCATGGAAAGAAAAGAACAGCATTGAAGTAGTTTCTACCAAGAAAAGATTCTCTGCCTGCTTCTTATTTTCCACTTCCATTAACCTGCCTTAACCACAGTTGATTAGATGCCTACCATAAAGTGATTTACTCAACACTGTGAAAATACTGATTGCCAACTACTGTACATTCTTTTCCACACACAACATTATCACATCAATTGAGCATTATGCTACTGTCTGCATTTAGTGAAATTTAGTGAATGATATGGAAATAATGGCTTGTTTTTAGCTACATGCATTTGCTCATGCAAACCTTGTCATCATGCATAGATTTTAATGGCTGACATGGATGCAATGCAGACAGCCCAGAAACAACCAGAAAATATTGTGCTATTGCAACATTATGCTGCTATCCTGCTGTTCTACATGAATAAGAAATGAGAATGGCAAAACACTACATAATTCACTTTCCCCTTAATTAAACCATGTAGGGATCATTTTTCTGTGTGTGTTCCACTTCAGTACAAGCAAAGCATGATGTAATGATAGTAACACCCTCCTTTTGCCTGGGTTAAAAAAACCAAAACAAAACAACTTACAAATCTACAGTGTTCAGTTACAGAATGACAACTAAAAAATCAAGAGAGAAACCAAACGAGGTGATATAACACAAAAGAATTAAATGGAAAATGCTGATTATTTTCACCAGTTCTTGTTTCTTATACATTATTAGAAAGAGAAGAGCTTTTAACAAAGCAAGTCATTGTGCATCTGTTAGAACACTTCTGTGTTTGTAAAATGAGAACTACATAAGTGATCTTAGTTTAAAGTTTAAAACTATTGCTTCCTACTGGTCTATTTTCCAGATAATTTCATGATCCCATTGTTACAAGATTTCTGTTAGTGTAAAATTTCCGTTAGATTTCTCTGCAATCTCTGGATTTGAGTCTTTAAAGAATGAATGTGGTAACTACTACAAAAGGTGACCGGCTTTCCCTTTAGGTCAATGTCACATTCTTTCAGCAAGCTACCCACTGCTCTGCTGAAGACAAGGAAGAATCCTGTGTCAGTGGGTCTCAGGTGAGTTCTCTTCATGTCTGACTCAAGTCAAATCTTTGGACTTGTGCAAATAAATCTTCATACACTGAACAGGGAACAAGTTCTTTTGGATCAGAGGCCTGTGTCAGAAAACCACGTATTATTTCATACAATGAACCAGTAGATTTGCTTGTGCCAAATGGACGTTTAGTGAGTTTAATGAAATCATTCTCCTTTCTTAAGCTACAGAAGCAGCAGAAACGTTCAATTTTCCATTAGGATTTTTACCTGGGAAGTAGTACTGGTTCTAGACTCTGGGCTGCCACTGATGTCTAAATTCTCTTACAGTGTACACACGAGAATACCTGAAACACACACGCGCGCACAGTCAATTACTAGATCACTGGGGTCAAGTATATTTTCAAAGTTACTCAAGCCTTACCTTTGCTGTAGCCCTGGCACGGAATTCAGGACAGCCATTAACAGTTATCGTTTCATGCATATATTGATACACCTAGAACGTTCACATAAAAAAAAAAAGAGTGCGTAAGAACATTAGGAATATCAATTCTTTCACTGCAGATAGGATTATAAATTTTCATTGTAAAACGCAAGTTTTCGGTCACAAGGTGAAATAGGTCTGGATAAATTATCCCAGTGATTAGGACCAAAGATCCCTCCTATTTTTTTTTTGGTGGGGCACGGTTGCGGCAGAGAAGGCAAACACTTTTATTATTTGGGTATCTGTGTTCCTCAAATATAAAAACTCATATATTTGGTTTTATAAAAACTACTTTGTCAGTAAGATTTTTTACCATTTCATAAAGCTCTGTCTCTCAAATATGTGATAAAATTATATATATATAATATAATATATATAACTTCCTGAATCTAAGTAACACTTTCTTTTTTTTGAAGATTTTATTTATTTATTTGACAGAGAGACAGAGCCATCCAGATGCCCCTAAGTAACACTTTAAAAATAGTTTTCAGGGCACCAGGGTGACTCAGTCAGTTCAGCATCTGACTCTTGGTTTCTGCTCAGGTCATGATCTCAGGGAGATAGAGAGAGAGCTCAACACAGAGCCTGCCTGTCCCTTTCCCTTTGCGCCTCCCCCCAGACCCCCCACTCTCTTTCTCTCAAATAAATAAAAAAAAATCTTTAAAAATAGTTTCCTAAATTAATATTCCACAAGACTGGGGTAACAATATCTTTTCCTTGCATGTTGTAAGGTATAGTTACCCTTCGTGACACATATTCATAATTCATAAATATAGGAGATAAATGGTATTCAGGGGCAGGGACAAGTAAAGCAAGAGATTCTTAGAACTAGTAACAGAGAGCAACATATCAGGTATGGGTTCATGTTAACATTTAAGTGAAATAGAAAGAAGAGAAGTAAAATCTGGACTCAGAATGATATGTACAAAGCACACAGTTTTCGCTGACTAATGGACCAAAGTTTGAGACTTGCAGTCTAATTGGGGAACTGCGAGGTCCTGATTGAACCACTTTACCACTTTGACCCTCTTTGTGCCCATCTGAGAAATGGTTTTTTTTACTTGAAATAATACTTTCAAGACCCTTGGCACTTAAAGAGCACTCCTTAAATATCAGGTATTATTATTAATTATGATTTTAGACAAAACTATGAAAATTATTGGAATGTAGTAGAAAAAAATGTTTTCCTTCTAAATTGTCAGGGATGGGATTATAAAATCTGTATATCAGTGGCAATATAAATTGCTTCATCATAAATAAACTTAAGTATAGAGAATAACTCTTAAAGGATAGTTTGAAGACGTTATTTATTTTTAAATATTTTATTTATTTATTTATTTGACACAGAGAGAGACAGCGAGAGAAGGAACACAAGCAGGGGGAGTGGGAGAGGGAGAAGCAGGCTTCCCGCGGAACAGGGAGTCCAATATGGGGCTCGATCCCAGGACCCTGGGATCATGACCTGAGCCAAGGCAGACGCCTAACAACTGAGTCACCCAGGCGCCCCTGAAGACAATATTTACAAAAAAAACTAACAAGATTAAATATGTTAGACTTTATGCCCATTTTAAAGATTTAAATAATAAATTGTAAAAATCAGTTGTATGATGTGTAGAGGTAAAAGTCCATTTGGAATTTTGCTGGGGTATTTTTTGAGAGTGACCCATTAGCTATTCAGTAAAAGATGAAGTAGAAAATTCATCTTATTTTCCACACTTAAGTAAAAAGTTATTAAAGTGAATTCAGAATGTGATTAATGCATCCATTCAACAATTGTTCTTTGAGTGTCTCAGATGGATCTCTTCCAGACATTTCTAAGCTGGCTCATCATTTCTCAAATACATTTGGTTGAATTTCCATTAATGGTGACTCATCTTTCCCAAGTGGCATGTTTAGAAGGAAAAAGACCAAGTGGCCTGGACTAGGAAGGTAGGGGCACCATTCAGAATCTACCATTTAGCCTTATACTTCACTAAATAACTGGGGTATACAATTTTGGTGAGCAATCTGAATGGGAAGGGAATAGTTTTCCAGGAAAGCATTTGCGTACCCCGGGACTGGTTAACGCAAATTCTCCAGGTTACCAGCAGAGCTGCTCAACATGTTGACACATTATTTCCTTGAAAGTGCATCAGTCTGTTTTGTAGAGCTATCTCTTCCACAAATTAATTCTACTTATTTGATCTTACAGCCCATTTAAGAGCAAGATTCTCCTTACTCTGCTTCTCTTGTTAATAATCTCTTAAATCTGATCCCTTCGTTCTATCTTTTTTAAAAAATATTTTTATTTATTTGCGAGAGAGAGCAAGAGAGAGCGAGCACGAGTGGGGTGAGGGGTGAAAGGTGAGGGGCAGAGGGAGAAGCAGGCTCCCCGCTAAGCAGAGAGCCCTAGTGGGGCTCGATCCCCATCCCAGGACTCCAGGATTGTGACCTGAGCCGAAGGTAGAAGCTTAACCCACTGAGCCACCCAGGCGCCCCTCCTTTGTTCTATCTTAACTCATTATATCTCTTGCTCAAAACTCTGCATCAGTGTCTTCTTTGGGTGTCCCACCACCAAACACTATCGACTTTAGTTATCATTGTCAAGGAGCTACCTGACCATGTCACTACTGTGCTTCTGGCTGTCTACGACTCTTAGAGTAAAGGTTGCAAAGTCAAACCCCTACAGGACTCAAACCAGTGACAATAATGCACAACCCAGGCTTTTCTCTAATTTCATTTCCCTAGTTGTTTTCCTCCACCCTCACTGTTCCGCAAACATATACACCTTCCTAACTGCCTAGACCTTTGCTCTGTTTAGAACGCCCTTTCACATGCCAGACTCTCATTTGTCCCTGTTTAACAGGATGCTAAAAGACCCAATTATCATTTTCTCTGTTCCTTGTTCTTGGCTTCCTCCAAGCAGAGAAATCTTTCCCTCCCTCCTCAGTTTTGAACCATTTGAATTTGTCTGGGGTCATTCTGGTGATCTTTTCCAGGGAAAGTGCTATCTTTGCTTGCATCCAAGGATGTTTATGAGGACAATCATTAGCCAACAATTAGGATGATGAAATTGATGAAAGCAAATGCTAATTTTGTAAGTTTGTAAAATAAAGTAAATAAAAATTTAAGAATAATTATCTTTAACATTGCAATTTGAATTGTGAATTAAAAAGTAGAGTATGCAAGAGGCAGCAGTCTGTATAGATAACACACAGGTCCTGCAGACACCACGTATTCATTGTATGTTCTGGGTCGGTTACTTGATTTCACTGGGGTTCAATTTTCTCATTTGAAAAATAAGCCTTAGAGTTGTAACTAACTTCTAGGTCTGTTAAGAGGATTAAATAAGTTTAGAACAGTTTGTAGCATGTAATAAGTTTATTTTAAAAATAGCTATTATTACTACTATTATTATTAATATTCAATGTTTCCCAACTTATTTGACACTGGGATCTTCTGGGAAGAATCTCCTAGGACTGGTAGTCCATGAACACATTTTACAGAGAATTGATGGAAGACTGTAGTTCTCAGCTGGGGTTGTTTTTGCACCCTAGGAGACATTTATTTGGCAATGTCTGGAGACATTCTGGGTTGTCATAAACAGGGAGGGGAATGGTGCTACTGGCATCTATTATTAAAGACCAAGAAGCTGCTAAATACCCTACAAAGCTCAGAGTAGCTCCCCATAACAAAGAACCATCTGCCAAAACGTCAATAGTCTTGAGATTGAAAAACCCAAAACTAAGAAATCATGCTATATCATTTCTTCTTACACCTAATAATTAGTAGGCCACAAAAAGGCACTTGTATAGCACTGGCTAAAGGATCTTGTAAATAAATAAAAGGGTCTTGTTCAACAAATATCTTTTGGAGTAAAAAATCATGATTCTGGTGAGCATTTAAAGAGGACTTGCTCTAGGCCAAGTGTAATGCTAAGCATTTTATATCTGTAAGTTCATTCGATGCTCACAGCTTATGATTCAGGGATTCTACACACAAGGAACCGGCCACAGAGATGGTAACATGCCCATGACCGCACAGGTAATGGCAGATTTGGTGCAGAGATTCAGATGTAATTGCCTCCAAAATCTTTTCTCTTTCAACCACACAAGGCTTTCTTCTTGAGACAGCGTCAGACTACTATTATTTTGGCAGCATTGGGGAAACAAAAATGTGGAGATATCACCAGTATTTATTTATATTTTGAATAAAGCCATCTAGGTTTAATATGATGCCTACCATTATACAAATGGTAGCTGCAAATGTATAATACAATTCGGAAACTAACAAATTCATCACTCCAAATGAAAGTGAAATAGCATTTTTAATTGACTTTTATTATTGTAATATACTAAGATTCAAAGAAAAGAAGTCAAATATCATTGTTACTCTTTTCTCCTGTAAAGCACCACAGATCCTTATCAGTTGGTCTTTAAACACTGGCTGACATGGTCTAGTTAGAGAGTCAAGTCAAAGCTGGGAGATATTAGTTCTATTTCCATTAGTTAGGTCGCCTTCTGAAAATTACTTAGCTCATCATTTTCTGGGGACACAATGTATCCCTACTTAGCTTACTTTTCAAAGACAATTGTACAGATATTTGTAAAACTTTGAAGGAAGTTGTTATAGAAAACTAAAATATTTTACCAGATGCCCTGAGAGAATTCTTAAAAGGGAAAACAGAAAATGGGTTGCATGAGCTTCAACAAGGGACAGTGGGGCTTACAGCTTCCAGAATCAGTTGGGCCTCCAAATTTCTGGACAATTTCAGCTACAGCATTTCTAACCACATTCCATTTGGGTAAGATGGGTTTAATTCCTACTGAGAGTAAAATAATTTCTAGAGACTCTTGTACAGGTTTTAGCTTACATTTTTGTATCAGTAATTTACTAACTTTGAATAAGTCTCACAGATTCAATAGCATTTTGAGTATCTGGAACTTACTCCAAGCTATTGAAAATTTACAAATACAGATCAGTTCAATTAAGGTGATGGGGTTGCAGTCAGTCAATTCAGAAAGTGCGTTTAG